GTACAATGAAATTAGCAAATCGAGAAATTGAATTCGATGTTTTGATAACCATAAAACTTTAATCCAATGATTCGCTTTTGTACAGGCCAACTCGAGAGCTTGTAATCTTGTTCGTGTTGGAAATGGATTAAAAATCTTCAGAAAACGATAGGGTAGGTTTATTGAAATCTTTCAAAGAGAACTGTACAGGATAATTGAAGATCTGAGAGAATGTTAAAATACCACAAGAATATGTAATATCAGAAACGTTAGTGATGAGCGACATTTCGTCTGAAATGCAAGAATGATTTGAGCTCGATTAGATGGGCTGAATTTTTTGTTTTGTAACCAAGGATGCCGCCCCAAAATGTTTGCAGCGGGTGGCGGGCAAAATCCTTTTGTAAAAAGGAGATTTTGTAGTTTGAAGCTGATTGTTATTGTCAGCCAATTTGTGTCATCTTATGTTAACGCGATGTTACGCAAGCGTATGTTACGCAAGCGGAACGGCACAAGATTTAATTCTATAAGGACCCCCCTATAAGTCGAGCTTGGCCGTATGCGGTACCGGGCGAGGAACCGTAGGCGAATGGTTCGAATCAGGGATACCGTGTCGAACCGAGCGGTAAATTAGTTTCATATGAATCAACCGGTGCGGCTCAGGCACGGCTCGACATATAAAACTATGTGTGTTCTACTACTTCACTCTTCTATACAAAGAATGTCTAGCTAAAAATGATCTTGATTAATTAACAAAATTTGATTAGATCTAATCTATCTGCATGTAGAAATTTTTAAATTGGGTTACCACTTTAGATACAGCAAATGACCAGGAACAAGAGTGGAAGGATAAGTATTAAATTGCTGAGATAATGGTATACGAGCAAGAAGATTGTGAAAAAAACAGGTCTAACGTCACGGGCAACGAAATTTACAACTTCCAAGGAACTTCGAAACAATGATAATGAGCACAAGGCTGCGTTTACACGTATTAAATACTACTGATTTGATTCGCTCTGAACATCGAAGCCCAAGAAGTATTTTTATGAAAATAACAGTCATGTGAAGACTGCTGTTTTACCGGTCTGTCATATAATGCTCGATTCAATGTACGTACAGCAAGGTGTGTAGTGCTAGGGGGCTCAGGCTTCTAAATGCCGAAAATGGGCAAATTTCTATTTTTGCTATTGTTTTTTTGCTATTTTTTATACAAAAGCCTCCCCCCTTGTTATTTTGATAGCACTACACCACTGCGTACAGCCACAGAATAGATATCGTCTCTATTTTGTTGCAATATTCAATGTAACAACCTTTTTTTAACGAAAGGTGTCATTGAATATATTGAAATAAGCCAGAACAAAAAAATTAAACAAATTTTCATATTGTTTGGTACAGGAAAGTTAACAGGAAAGCAGTATCAAGCAACATACATAATTTTATTCTCTCCCGACATAATTGAAGTAACTCTCTCAATCTGCAGAAGCTCACTTTCTTCCCAATTAAAGGCTGTGTTCAGACAAAAAGCTTATTTCAGGGGGGTGGCTTGCTAGTTCGGTATGAGGTGATAAACTTCGAGTCTTGAGGTAAGCTTAACAATTCACCGGACAGCTGCTGTAATTAGTACGTAGCTTTTGGTTACTGTAGGCATATCACCCTATGATTTTAACGTAACAGCAAACTCGTGCTATAAAATGGTTTATTTGGCTGGGAAAGATTTTGCAATTAATCGTGTATTTTGCGTGAACAAGCTTCCAAGAGAAGGAAATATGTAGACAATTCAAGGAATTTGGCGAAATTTTCTTCAAAATGCAAGAGGTGCGCTGTCCCCTTGCCTTAAATGCTAGAAACAGAGCTACCTTCGAAACTGTCATTTTCCTCTGACTAGAGCTTGGGAATATTCAATCACTTGACAGATGACGTTTTAGAAGATATTTCTAGCTTACTATAAAAGCTAAAACGTACTGATTCTCATTCAATATGTTTACTGATCAATTAAACTCGTTTTGCTACTTTCACCCATATGTTTATCAAGTGCCAACATTAGTACTAAGGCCGCAGTCAGACATAGTTGGACATCAAAAGGCCTCTACATTCTTTTTTTATAAGAACAATTTTATAAGAACCCGAGCCACAAAATCGATCAAAAGTCAAAAACAAACTAAGAACAAGCTGAGGCTGAGTTTCTGCAAAATGCATTTTTGAACAACGTTTTTTCTCAAAATCGAGGATTTTTAGCGATGTGTGGGTGCTTTTTCAGTGAATATTCAGATTTGACAGCGAATTACGGCTGTCTCGTTCACTTTTTTGCAAATGAGGCCTGTACACCTCCTTAGAGCGAAAAAGCTAGCAATAGCACTGCTTACACCCTATAAATTTTAGAACAACTTAAGAACAATCCAGCCTCAGTCAGCCTGAACTTAAATTTACTGGTTCTTATAAAAAAGAGTGTAGTCTATGTCGCAGATCACGATAAACATTTAGCTTGGTAAAAATTATTAGGAAATGTTTATCCAGAATGGAACGAAAGTCAGTGGCCATGTTTTATGCCCATCATTAGTGCCCATGTTTTATGCCCATCATTGGTGCCCTTGAAATGGCCTACAGTTATTGTTCAGTTGCCATCGACGGCTCAAAAGAGTTTTTCTTCGTCTTCTTTTTGTCTTTCTTTACTATAGAAGCAAAATATCTAATGAATTTATTGTTGGTCGTCCATTTCGGAAATCTTGTTCACTCGTTTTTTAATCGACAAAAGAGTTACATTTGCCAATTTTCCTAAACAGCTGCGTTTTCTGGCTACAATTTTGGACACAGCTGTTGAGAAAAACACTTGACCATGTGCCGGATAGGATAACATACATAGTTCAATTTCAACCTCCTCTCTCCATTCAAAATTTGTGCCATATCAGCAATGAATGGGGGCGAGAGGGTCTGCAAAATCACAACTTTTTCCGCTATGGAAGATACATTTCATTTCATTTTTCATTTCATTTTTAATTATTTACACAGGGTAAAGCTATCAACTACATACACAAATTGCTTTCCGGGCTGCCCTGTACAAAGAAACCGATGAATGCTAAAATTTAAAAATACAGATATGCAAATGAACAGATTAGAATAACAAAGTAAAAGCATTTAAAATACTGGAACTAGCGCCAGGAATAAAAAGGGTCCCTTTATGTTCTGGAGTTTTCGAGATAACATTTTACTTGTTTGAATTTTTTTATTAATTTAGCTTTTGCGTCCAGGCCATTCCATAGTTTTGCCCCACTAAAAGAAAAGCATTTTTGGCCACATGCTGTTCGTAGAGACGGGACACGTCTTGGAACAGGTTGACAAATCCTTGAATCGTAGACCTTTAGCTAATTGACCTGACGTTGTGAATCGTAGTCCTTTAGCTAATTGATAATCCTAGCTTGTTTTATTCGCCCAAGACGCGTAAACTACCATGAGCAGTGCAGATTTGATTGCATCCTATAAATATTCAACTTTCACTGGAACTATTTCATTTTTACTAACATTTTTATCAATAAAAATTACTGAAGTTTATATACAAAGATTTAGCTATGAATATACGAAAACAGAGTGGTCATTTGTTGTTGAGTGTGGAGATGTTTAAAGCTTCGTTCCCTTGACAAAACGCAAAATACCAAAGCTCCTTCTTAACCTGATTTTCTTTTACATTCTTTTGCAATACGACGAACCAAGTGACATCAAAGGGAAATACAAGATGTACCTATCAATATTAAAAGTCGATTGAGGGTTATTTGTTTTTGCTAGACCAATATTTGTTTGCGTCACGTTTCTGTATGTGAAAAGTAAACACATCAAAAGTATTACATCTGCTGCCATGTACTGTATAAATTTGCTATTTTCTTTTCAACATTTTCGATGCACTTACACGGCCATCGGAAGCGGGGAAATAGGGGTCTGGAGCCCCCAAATAATTGTCAAACTGTACTGATTGGGGAGCAATGCAATGGGTAGCCCCTCCCCCCTAATAGTATGAATTGGTATGAATTTCGTTCCGTTGACACTGACTAAAGTAACTTACAACTTGATTATGCTGCGTTTTTTGAAGAAAAAAACGTTGAAAAGTTTAGTCACATTTGCAACCCTCGCTAAAGATAGCTCAGCTTCACCAAAACAAAAGTTTAGGGAAATGTTTAGTGAAATGTTT